TAGCTACCAAGACAGGGCCCCGCCTCAGCAGCCCCATTGCAAGCCGAGCCCTCCAAGCCACGAGCATTGGGCCAGAGTGGAGAAGCTTTTATCTTCCCGTTGGAGCCCCCCAAAGGTCCTTAGACCACAGAGGCTGGGAGACCAGGGTGACAGTGGAGGTGGCAGACTGGGGTGGAGGGTTGCGTGTGGGGAAAGGGGAGTGGAATAAAAGGCCTAGGCCAAAAGATGCCCCGAATCCCGCTCTCACCCCGATTTCCTATGGTTCCCAGGAGAGTGGGCTGCGCGTCCCCCCCGATGGCATTCTCAGGAGAGCCTGGGCCACAAGGGGCCCTGCTCCGGGCTCCAGGCACCAATCTTGAAGTGTGTGGGAGGGCTAGACAAAGAGCTCAGAGGTGACCACAGAAAAGCTATTCCCGGGGCGGGCGGGGGAGGCAAAGTCCCGTCCTCCGTTTCCTTTAGGTTTCTCCATTTCAGAGGTCAGCTAGGATGGATGCCTGGAGAGCACACAGAACAAGGTTCAGTCTCGTCTTAGAAAGCCAAGGAGCCTCTGAGCTGTGTAACTACCTCACCTCAGCAGGAGGTCGTGCTCTTTATTCCCCTGGGAAAGGCAGGGGGAAGGTGTCCCACAGGCCAAGGGACTGCCAACCCGGGCTTCCCACTCTCTCACCCCTCCCCGACCCCCTGGACTCACAGGCTGGTCCCATCCAGCTCCCGGGTCCTAGTACTATCCGTTCCCCTAGGAACCCACTCTCCTCCACCTGGGGGCATGGCCTCTAAAGCCATCTACTCCTGACCAGACATCTAAATGTAAAAGGAGGCTCCCAGCCTATGGCCATATCCACTTCCAATGCGTGGACCACCCACTTCATCCCACTGAAGTCTCCTCACCCCAGGTCTAGCCCCAGGGTGGCTGCATATCACGGTAGAAAGTATTGAGAAGATAGAAACCACACTAATAGCGCCTGCCGTCCCCCCACCCTGCCACCACCCCACCCCACCCTCTTGATAAATACAACTCAGCAGGGCCTGATAGACCTCAAGTTCAAATTGGCAGGCTCCCTGATGCAGTGGTCAGGGAAAGGTAAGCCCCATTCCTTGGCCTGTAGCATAGCCAGCCCTTTTGGGCTCTCCCGACACATCCCACAACTTAGGGGACAAGTGTTTGCACACACATAGTGCTAAGTTCTGTCTGCAGCTCTCTGTGCAGCTGCCCCGGGCCATTACACCCGCAGAGGACACCCCACACACACACATGGGCACAGGCCATCCTCGGGAGGATTGACCCTGGATGTGGACCTGAGGCCAACTGAGAGACTGTCCTGGGGTCCCGGGTCCTTCCAGAACGGTCAAGTGTGGAGGCTCTGAGAACACGCATGTTGGTGCCGTGGTGAAGAGCTGGGGTGGGATTGGGCCCATGCAATCCCTTCTTGTGTACACAGCCTGGGTGAGGGCCATGCTGGACCCGGGAGACCCGATGCCCCCTGCTTTTCCCATCTCAGGATCATGGTGCCATGTCTGGACACATTGAAAACACAAGAAGCCGCCTACCTCCTTGTGGTGCTTTCTAGAACCCAGGGTGGACCTCCCAACCCATAGTTCTCTGTCTCATTCGTTTCATCTTTGGATGAAGAACTTATCCCAAGATTTTACTCTTAGAAGAATTTTAAGCAGCTTGAATCAAGGTCCAGAATCCAAGACCCAGGGCTGTCACAGACTAGCACTCCTCGACTTGCATGCTGGCCTCCAGATTGGCGCATTCTGTAAGGACGTCCCCACTGAAGGGATGTCAGAATGAAATTATATAGAAGAACAAAAAAGCAAGCCTTGGGGTCAGATGAGGTGGGCCAGCTCAAGGAAGCGACCTCTGACCTTGTGTAGCCTCTCCCTCCCCCCTGTCAAGGCACAGCAGAGCTGAAGGACAGGAGGCCTTGCCCCATCCTGCAAGGGTCCCTGGTAGGCCCAAAGCAGGTCCAAAAACTTGCTCAAACCTCTCATATTCCTCACAAGGCCAGGGTTGGGGCTTCTTGTCTATAGATCAGGTAGCCTTTGAAAGACCTGCACTGTTTGGTTCTACCCTAGGTCTCTAAGCCGCGTAGCTGCCAGACCCTGGCCATCCAGGCAGTGTCAGGCATGGGCTCCCTCTTGAGTTTGGGCCTCAAGTTAGACCAGTCATTGGTTGGCCACTCCTGCCAGCTCTGAGCCACCATTGTCCCAGCGCATCTTGCAGGCAAAACAGGAAAACATGGCCCACAGAATTAACTAAGCAGGGCTCACAGGGCCAACCACGAAGCCTGCATGGCCCTCTGCGTATGTGATGTGGTTGTTCCGCTTGGGGTTTTTGTTGGACTCCAAACAGTGGGAGTGTGGGGGCGGTGTCTCTGACCCTTCTGCCTGCTCATGGGACCCTTTTCCTCCTACTGGAGGAACCTGCAACCTCCAGTCTAACCTTGATACGAGTTTGTGCCTAATCTTATTGCACCTTGTGATGCCATGTTCAGTTGATATCCCTGGGAGGTCTGTTCTCTTCTGGAAAGGAGAGAAATGGAGGAGCAGTGGATTTGGGGAAGAGGGGAAGTGGGGGGGGTGACTAGGAGGAGGGGAGGGAGAGGAGGCTGTGGTCCGGACGTATTGTATGAGAGAAGAGTTTAAAAAAAAAAGTGTCCTCTTCTGAAATGCAAGGCCCAAGGACACATGAGTGGGAGTGAGCCAGGAGTTGGGGGTGGGGTGGGGGGGCTAGAGGGCAACCCACCCACAAAGGCAGGAGTGGAAGGCCAGATCCTTCTGGCCCAGGCTCACCTTCCTGTGGTTAAAGGGCCTAGGAGGAACGGGGTGCTACCTCCAAGAGCAGCCTCAGGAGCTGCAGTCAAGGAGGGAGGGGAAGGGGGCAGGGCCTGAAATTCCCAGAGGCCCAGGAGAAGAGCCAGACCCCACAATGAGGAAGAATTTGAAGAAAATGTAAACTGGCAGGTCACCCACAAAGCCACTGTGGAGGAGCAAAATGCTAGGCCCTTTCCTGAGGAGAGCGCCTTTGGGCCCCTGCTCATGGGTGGGCCAGAAGGAACCCCAAGGCATTCAACATGGCCCGGCAGCTTGCAGCTGGAGAAAGGCAGGCCTGCGGGGGGGGGACCATGGACTTTGGCAGGGACCCCAGCAACTCAAGGGCCAGGAAGCAGAGATGGTCAAGACCAAGATCTTACCATAACCGCCCAAGAACGGCTTCCCCAGGGTGTGTGAGGTTGCTCAGAGGGGAAGATGAACCAGCAGGGCTCAGGGCCCTGAGGCAGGAAAGACAGGTGAGATGGATAAAGCCAGGACAGGTGAGATGGATAAAGCCAGGAAAGGTGAGATGGGTAAAGGATACTCAAAAAAGAAAGGAGCCCCCCCCCCCCCGCCCTCTGAGTGAAGCTTCTCGCCAGCTGAAACAGGAATTTGACACAATAAAATTCACTGTGAGGCTGGCCCGTAGAGAGACGACGTTGCTCTCACATACACTTCAAATAAAAACTCTTAGAACAGGCACGCACGTGGCGCACAGACATATATGCAGACAAGCGCCCATACACGAAGTGATCCCCACACAGCAGCGTCCTCCCTCTCCCGACTCTGAGAATGGCTTGAGACTCACACAAGCAATAGCTTTCTCGTGAACTAGCCTGGTAAGGGTTCCCTTGACCCTCGTGACCTCTGGCTTCACCCTATCAGCCTACTGTCCTATATACAGCGCCCCTCAGAAACCACCCGAGCACCTCATTTACTAAGAGAAGAATGGTCCCTTAGAAACCCCTTGAACAATGTAACTGCAGAACTCACCAAAACCCGTATTCGTGGTTATTGTTCAGACTTTAAGTGGGACTGTTGTCGGGAGCTCAGAATGTATGCACCCTCCTTTTCTGGACTCTCTCTCTCCCTCAATGCCCATGCTTAAATTGATACTAAAACCTTTTTCTTTTTCTTCTTTGATCTCCTCTATCCCAGGCTGGCCTTGAACTTCCCATATAGCCAAGGCCTCCCCCTACAGAGTGCTGGGATTACAGGCATGCGCTGTCATGCCCAGTGTGAGCGATTGAACCCCAGGGATTCGTGTGTGCCAGGCAAGCACTCTACCAACTGAACCGCATCCCCAGCCCTTACCACCTTCATAAACTCCAGCTCCACTCTGCACTGACACACCCTGAAGTTCTTTTCTGCAGTGAAGTCAAGAATCTGGGCTGCACCTGAGCGGAGGTCCCTAAGAGGAAATGTCGCAGGCTCTAGGCAGCAGTTCTGGACTGTCTTCCAACGGCCTCCAACGAGAGCACTGTAATGTGACATCCCTCACAGGACCTAGCTCAGTCCTGGGAGCCCACTTAAAAAAGGTCTTTGATGATCCAGCCCAAGTGGGGTGGGGCACCCTTCTGACAGGGGGAGTCAGAAGTGCCTCTGGGAGGCAGGGGCTTGAGCGGTGGTTACCCTGGTTTACCCCAAAGGTTTCACAGCTGAGCCTGAGGCTCCGGAGACCTAGCATGGTAACCCACGTTCTGCCTGGCCACAGGAACCCATAGGAAGTCTTGGTTCTTCAAGGCAGGGATGGTCCACAGCTATTAGTGAAAAGAAGTAAATGATAAAGGACATTAGGGTCCAGGGATGGGTGCCCAGGCCAGGTCCAGAGGCAGCCCAGAGGTCCTTGCTCGTGGGCATCTTGGCAGGAGCAGGGAAAGGGGCCTGGAACAAACTGGGCCCTGTCTAGGGAAATTTTCCTTCTGCTACCCATGTGCCTCCCCGGGGGTGTGCAGGAGGGAGGCCAGAACCCCAGGGAAGGCGCCAGGTCACCGTGCTGAGTGACTTCCAGGTTCTTGTGACAGGGTGGGGTGGTGGGAATGCATGGCACCCCGACGTTCCCTGCTAGGCACTCGATGATGACACTACCACTCAGCTCGGTGAGCCAGGAGAAGAGGACGTGAGCAAGGGACACCAGGAACTCGAGACGCCGGGAATGCATTCAATGCAAAAGCTCGGCCCTGTTGTTTTAAATAAGAAATTTATTGCAAATATAGAAATTGATTCTCTCCATACAGGAATCTCCAAGGTGAGGAAAACGATTTCGTGCCATTCGGTTTAAAACAGGAAGATTGGGGGGGAGAGGCAGATGGAAGGAGGAGAAATAAATGAAGTTACCCCCCCTAAAAGAAGAAAAGGAGAGGGTCCAAGGCCCCCAGGGGGGGGGCGAGTTCCGTACACAGCGAGGGGTCACAGGTTCAGAGTCCAGGGCCCCGAGCCCAGCTCCGCAGGGCTCAAACCAGGTGCCAGGCTGCCGTGCCCCTGGGGGCCGGCAGCTCCTGAGGAGGGTGGAGGGTGGGAAGCAGGGGGGGGGGTGGTCATCATTGCCTGGACCTCTACCACAGCCCTGTGGCTTGCCTGGCAGAAGAGGAGGGAACAGGAGGACACCCCCGTGGGTACCTCTATTCTCCCCGCTGTTCAGCAGAGGGCAGCTGGCATCTGGGGGGGCGGGGGAGGGGCACACTGAGGCAAGTAGTGGGAGATACTGGTTCTTAGAGGTGGGTGTGGGTCGTGGAAGATGTCAGGCGTGTGACAGGAGCGCGGTGACTGGGAGAGATACCGTCTCCTGGGGCTGAGGGGGATCCCAGAGAGCAAGCCTTATCAAGAGGGACAAACATCTAGGGGATGAGGTCACCCTACAGGTAGCTAGACACCCCATAGCGCCCCCCATACCTCTTCCCACCCACCCACACCCTGGAGAAGAGGCCCTCAGCCATGTCAGGACTTGCTGGGGGGCTGAGTGACAGGGTAGCCAGTGAGGAGGCTTGGGGACAGCCAGCAGGTCTCTCCCTCCTAGTTCATTTTCAAAGCATTGGCTCTTCTTGTCTGTCGCCTGTCGTCTCCTTGGAGGGACGAGAGACCACCTGCCCACCCCCACCCCCCGCCCCATCCCTTATTTCATTCTCTGCAGGGGCCTAGCACTCCCAGGGAGCCTGCATCTTCTCCTCAGCCTCGGCCCCTCCTCGTGAACTGGGAGGTTGAGAGAGTTGTCGCTTCCGTCCCTGTCCGTCCCCCTATGGGCCTGTCTAGAGGTTCCCCTGTGCTTCTGCCCATGTCACCTCCTTACATTTTCTGGATTGTGGGCACAGGTGACTTCTAATCAGGAACATGAGAGCCACGCACCAGGCCCAGACATCACTGGCTGCCTCCCCTGCGCCGCCCAAGGCCTCCTGAGGCGGCCAGGGCTTTCCTTGACAGGCCCTCCGGCCCTGGATAGGTTGCTCCAGGAGCTGCCTGCGTTATGATCGAGGGAGTACAGCGTGGAAGGGCCGTGGGTGGCGGAAGGGCCCTTTCCCAGGAAGCGGCCAGCTGACCCGGGCTCCCTGAACCTGCTAAGACTACGCTTTTTATTTCTGGAAGGCCGCACATTCCGGAGAAAGGAGGCTTCCCAGGTTGTTCCCTACCAGGATGGGAAAAGCCAGGTGTGACTTCCAACTGTGTCCCCCCCAGATGACTCCATGAAACCCTGAGCTCCTCCTCTCTCTGGGCCCCTAATCATGGCCTGCCCTCCAGCTTCAGTCCAAACCTCATTGCTGTTACACAGCCAGGGTGTTTGCTTGGACCCAGGGAGTAAGTAGGCATCGGTCTCTCGCCGCTACTCTACTCCTGCCCAGGAACAAGCCGTCCTAGATAGTACACAGGGCACGCCAGAGGGAAACTCCAAGGGCCTACCCTGGAGGACTGGCCAGGGCAGCTGGAGGGCCAGAGAGTGGAAGTGTGCCTATGCCTTGGGCCCTTGCTCTGTCCCAAAGACCCCTGTGGCCTGGGCCCCACTGTTGAAATGGACCCTCTCTTCTTTAAAGTCCCCCCGAGTGGTCTCAGGTTTATAAGTTATCTTCAATGAGGAATGATGGCCAGCTGTGAGGACAGAACCCAGTCCACTGTGGGGATCCTCCCCCGGCACGGCAAGGCCCCCCTCCCCTCCTGCAGGGCCCCCGAGATTCTCCAATGAAGAAGCTCCAAGCTCTTGACCTCCTGGACTCAGCATGGCGGACAACCTTCCCCCATCCCGTGGGGCTGGCTGGGCTGCCTGCCAGACAAGGTGCCTCTTCAGAGGGCCCCAGCTTCATTTCCAAATGGGAACAGGTCGACGAGGATCCTCCCACAGCCCCTTCTACGAGAACATGGCCTTGAGAACACTCTACTGAGACTGCCTTGCCTGGTGGAGTGGAGGGAAAAGGACCAGCAGGGACGGAAGGGGACCGAGACAGGAAGGGGTGGTGAAGGTGGGTGGCAGGCAGCCCTCGTGGGTCCAGTGCCCAGAAAGATGGGAGAAGGAGATGGGGGGCGAGGCAGGGAGAGCAGGGCTATGTTGGTGGCACCTGTTTTGGGTCTTCTGCAGAGCTGGCCCTTCCCTGGGTTTCAAGAGCTGCTCGGATCACATGGAGGGGGTGGGGGTGGGGAGGGGAAGTCTGGACAAACTGGCACATACACGACAGATGTTTGCTCGGAAAAAATACAGTAAAATCGTCATGCAAAGAAAACAGGGGTCTGCTTGCTCACACCCCTGGCCTCTCGGCCTGCCTGCTGTTCTCGGGGTGGTGGGTATAGGGTGGGGTGAGGGCAGGTGTGTGGCTGGGGGAGCTCTGCTCTTCACATCCAGGCTGGCCAGTCCCCTCTTCTCCCCCAGGAGAACAGTCTTTCTTTCTTCTTCTTTTTTTTCTTTTTCTTTTTCTTTTTCTTTTTTTTCTTTTTCTTTTTCTTTTTTTCTTTTTTTTGCAAATGTCACCCCTGAGTGAGCCCTGGGCTCGGCCCACCCCAAAAGTCGATGTGATAGAGGCGTTCAGTCAAGTCTCCCCACCCCAGTCCTTCCCTGTACCCCACCCCCAAGGATAGCCCTAGCTTTCCTGGTCAGAGCCCCCACAGGTGGAATGAATGAGACGCCACCCCCATTCCCGCCCACCCCTCAACTCCACAGTTGCGCGTGTCCCCATCTCAAGAAGCCCAGAAGAGTGACAGGAGTGGGGGGGCGGTCCTCCGGAAGGGTCGGAGTAGAGCCAAGAAGGTTCCTCCCTCTCTCAATGGCCAGCCAAAGGGCACACAGGCAGGGGGCAGAACTGCCTAGAACAGCCGTCCCCATGCCCCACGGGCCCGCTGCCTACTCAAAGGCAAAGACGATGCCTTAGCCTCGTCTTGGGACTCCAGAATAGCCTCTGGAGCTTGTCCCGGGAAGCCCCTGGCTCTTGAGAGAGCTGCCGCCTGGCCAGGCCTCCTTCACCACCCTCTGCTGCCAACCACACTGAGAGAACTCCAGAGCCCAACGGTTGGTCAGTTGGTCGCTCTGGGCACCAACTGCCAGGCACTGGGTTGCCGTGGCAACAGGACTAGCTGGGGAAGAGGAGGGGCCAGGAACCTGGCCCGCTCTCTGGCCAGGGCAGTAGGGGGGCACCTCACTGTTTGTGCTTTGATTGGTGTTGGGAGTGGGTCAGGAAGAGGACTGTGGCCATCTCCATGGAAACATGAGGAGAGCCCCTCTAGCCAAGGGGTGAGACAGGGTGGGGTGGGGCAGATGGCCCTCCTGGGCAGGCCAAGATGCTGCACACAGCAGGGGCCAAGCAAGTGTGGGTGCAGGGTGCAGGGAGGACTCCCTACATTCCGTATCATCTCCACACTGGTCCCAGGCCTTGACATTCACTGTTGCCTCTCTGTCGTGGGTAGGGGACCCGGGGACCCAGAGAAACTAGGGGCTGTGGCTTGGGGGCCTGCACCTGAGATACCAGTGAGGAGCGGGTCTCCCCACCCCCCCCCACCCCCAGGCAGCTCCCCGGGGCTACTTGGAAGACACTTGAAGAGGGTTGGTGGCACCCTTTACCTCTGCTACCCTCTGGTCAGCAGGACATTCCTCACTCCTGACCACCCAGGGCTAGGGACCGTAGCCTTCCACCTTGTGGGTGCCCGTGGACCTTCTAGAGAAGAGAAGCACCTGCCTACCTCAGTCCCTAGACCCCTGAGACCACAGCTTTGGAAGGGGTAATGGGCGGAGGGGGCGGGGCCCAGAGGAGCAGCTGGAGTCGGGGCCAGCGCTGGGCCAGGAAGCTGGGAGACAGAGCTGTAACCTGTTGGGTGATAAACCCCCCCCAGGGCGGGGGGCTTCTTTTCCTCCTCCTGGGCCATCCATAAAGTGGGAGGAGAGGATGCCCGATGTCCATGTGTTGCCAGATCTCCAAGGGAAATGTCGCCCAGCTTGGAGGACACCCTCTCTGAACAAGAGGGCTCTCTACGGTTGGCTTCTACTCCAGTCTCTTTTCCCCACCCAACCTGCCTGAGTCCCAGGCCCCACACCCTCTCTGGCCTCTCTCCCCAGCCCAGTGAGTCCCTTGGGCAGCACAGTAGAATACACTGGTTTCGGTAGCAGGTTGTAAACTTTAAGGAAAATGTTTGTTTTCCTGTCCGTTATTGTTGGGTGTTGGTTGCTTCACAGTCAGGTGGTGGTCAAGTGTGTGTGTGTGGGTGTGTGTGTGCGGGTGTGCATGTACGTCCACTCCTAGGCCCGGGGCCCCCCTCGGGCCCGGACCCCTTGGCCTGTCCCCCGCCTCCCGGCCACCCTTGGCGGGGCCCATCCCCCCCGAGTGCCCCTGCCCCTCCCCCTCACCTCACCGGTGGGGGAGGAGAGGGTCACAGCTTCTGCTGGGCTGAGACCCCCTTCCAGTAATCAAGGATGTCATGCAGGTCCTCATCCTTGGCGAACTGGACCTTCTTGCGCAGGGCATGGCCAGCAGCCATGTACACCTCCTCACGGTGGTGCTTCTTGTAGGGCCGGAAGCGCTCCCAGATCTTATGTGTGCTCTCAGATGAGTACTCGGGGCTGGAGGAATACCCTGAGTAGTAGTGTCTTGGGGAGAGCTGAGAATAGGCGGAGTCGCGCTTGGAACGGGTTAGTGGCTTGAGGAAGGACACGCGCTGGCTCAGGCTGTCGGTGCCCTCCTCATAGTAGAGGGCAGGGAAGCTGTGCCGGTGTTCGCTGCAGTGGTAGGCCGGCTTCACCTCCAGGTGGTGAATGCCACCGCCGCCACCACCACCAACACTACCACCACCGCCGCCACCACTGCTCCCACTGCTGCTGGTGGGCACCAGTGGAAGCCGGTCCAGCGGGCTGTTGAGGGGGCTGCCTTTCTCTATGTACTTGGAGTCGCCCTTGGCCAGCCCGGTGGGGGTTGGATGGTCCGGCACGTCCAGGCTGAAGACCTTGGCGCTCTTGATGGAACCACTGGATGACACGCTGCAGGTCTTGCGGGTCACCGCAGCATCGGCGCTCAGCTGGCGCTGCAGCGGGTGGTGGGAGCTCTCCTTGAAGGGGGGTGACAGGAAGCTGGGCAGCTCCAGCGCCCCAGGGGGGGCAGCCGAGGAGGCGGCCGTAGCTGCAGGGAGGGACTGGCACTCGAAGGCCAGCTCAGAGTCCCCGCCCCCGCTGCCACCCCCTAGGAAAGAGGCCGAGTCTAGCTTGAGGGCATCGATGCAATTGTTAATGATCTGGTTGACCTTGTCCACTTCCTTGGCGATGGTGGAGATCTCTGCAGCCGAGCCCTGGCCGTTCTCGATGTCTGGGAGCTCTTCCTCGGGCCGGGCCAGGCCGTCCCCTGCAGCACCTGTGCGTACCTCGATATAGTTGCCTTTGGTGGCGACCTTGGGCGTGTCTAGCCCGGCCTCCAGCCCCTTGGGGGCGGGCAGCTTCTCCCCAATTATGGAGGGAATCGAGGACATGCGGGCCACGGGGAGCACAGGAGGCTCGACCAGCTTCTGGGCCGCGTGCACGATGGGACCGGCGTCCACATCGGCGCCGTAGCGCATCTCCAAGATGGTCTTCTTGACATTGACGGACTTCTGCTTCTCCTCCTGCATGCGCCGCTTGCGCAGGCAGTAGTAGACGGCCCCCAGCACGATGACCATGCCGAACAGGCAGCCCAGGATGGTCATGATGTAGTGCGTGGTGGTGGAGGTGCTGGGGGCCAGGTCCCCAGGCACGGGGTCCCTGGTGGTGAAGGTCAGGCAGGTGTGGTTGAAGCGGCGGCTGTTGCGTAGCGAGGTGACGCAGAAGGTGTACTCGGTGTGCGGCCGCAGCTTGTCCAGTGTCACGATCTCCTTCTTGTTCTTGAGGGTCATGACGTCGGAGAAGTAGCTGTTGTTGTACTGGACCAGCACGTACATCTTGCTGTAAGGGTGCGGGATGATGACCACCAGGGTGGCCGAGGTGAAGGTGACCTGGTGCAGCTTGATGGCGGGTCCCGCAGACGCGTCCGTGGTCGACGAGGCCGGCGGCTCCACCGAGAGGATCTCGTCAGGATTGAAGCCTGAGTTCTCATCAGGCTCCCTCTGGGCGTCCGTGGAGTAGGGTGTAGGGTGACTCACAGGCCGGGCGGGCATCGAGCCGTTGCGGCACTTGGCCTGCAGGACGGTGATGGCATTGAGGCTGTGGTAAGGTCGGGGCACGAGCAACGGGTAACCAGCGAACTCCCTCGGTGACTCACACTGCAGGCGGTCATAGTTCTTGGTGACGTTGTTGAAGACCACGAGCCAGGCGAGGAAGCCGAAGAGGTCACACTCACAGTTGAAGGGGTTGCCGGCCAGCTCACACACCATCAGGCTGGCGAGGCTGGCAAAGGTGGCGCCATCCAGACGGCTGAGGCGGTTGGAGGACAGGTCGATGCTGATGAGGCTGGGGCACTCTGAGAAGGCGGTGGGCGTCACCACCTCGATGAGGTTGTGCTGGACAAAGAGGAACTGCAGGCGGCTCATGCCACGCAGCATGCCCTCCGTCAGGTTGCTGAGCCGGTTGTAGCCCAGCTGGAGGACCTGCAGGCTCGTCTGGCCCAGGAAGGCACCGTCCTCAATGTAGGAGATCTCGTTCTTGGTGAGGTTGAGGTCCGTGAGGTTCCCGAAGCGATTGAGCGAGGAGTAGAGGACAGCCTTGAGCTTGTTCTCATTGAGCCGCAGGTCATGCACAGTGCTGTTGATGTGCTGGGGGATGGTCTCATAGGGTGGCTGGTTCTGGCTGCAGATGGCCAGCCACACGTAGCCCTTGTCTCCCTCAATGAGCCAGCAGTCAGCATGCACAGCGCCCGGCTGGCACACACACAGCAGCGCGGCCGCGCACAGCCCCAGGCGCAGCATGGCCCAGGCTCGGACCCCCCGTGGACCCAGCTGGGGTGAAGGGCCAGAGAACGGAGGGACCTAGCAGCCAGAGGATGGGGCCGGTAGCACAGTCCTCCCTGGAGCCACCACCATCTTGGGGGTGACCTCCAGCACGGGGCGGGGGGAGGGGCCCTGGGCAGGATGGACACAGCCGGCGGCGCCTGCTGTTCTGAAGGGCTTCGAGCAGGCGCTAGGCGTTGCTGCGGCTCTAGGTTCCTGCCGGAAGTGCAGGTTCCCAGGCTTTGACTTCTCGCTCTTCTCCTCCTTCCCCTCGGGTTCCGGGATCAGAGCTTCAGGCAGTTCCCACGGGAGCCAGGAGCACAACACGGAGGGACGGTGAGCGAGCTGGAGACAGGAAGGAAGAAGCCCATCTGCCACCTAAGTTCCTGAAAGGTGGTATCAAGAGAAACGAGAGATGAGTGTGAGGGCCCCGACTCACCCCCTTCAGATCCAGCGTAGGCCCCCACCCCTCTTTTACACCCCTGTAGAACCAGGGACTCTTGCACCAGCAAGCACCCCAGGGCCCCTGCTTCCTTAAAGCAAGGGGCGGGGCCCGGGGTGGCAAAGTGGGAAAGCGAGAACCAGGGAAGAGTGACAGAGGGGGCGGGGTAGTCTGAGCACCAAGACGGAGAAGGCAACCTGGCGAGGGGCGGGTGGGCACAAGTGTGTGGATACCCTCCAGGGCACACCGGGCACACAGGCCACTGCCGGCCTGCACAAAGCTCACAAAACCAAAAAAAAAAAAACCAAAAAGCTCATGGGATGCACATGGGAGGGACACACACACAACACAACACAACACACACACACACACACACACACACACCCCTAACATCTGTGTACATGTCAGGCGTGTCCACACATCCAAGTGGGCACCCCCAAATCCGGATGAGAATTAAGAAGCCCGGCAAAATGCCTCATTCTCTGTGCCCAAAGATAAATAATTCATTTGTTGTGTAACTGCTCTTGTTCCAAAAATAATTCCCTTGTCTCAGCTTCCATGGGGGAGGGGAGCAGAACAGGCTGGCGGTGGGCCTCCCTTGTGGTGGGGGCGCAAGGGCCCGGGGTCTCTGCGGAAGGAGGGCTGGTCCTATGGGCGTGACTAAGCTAAAAAACAAGGGCCAAGAGTTAGGGACTCTAAACAAATTCCCTAGGAGAGTTCTCCCAAGGACAGTGTGCTGCCCAAAGGAGGCTCGGGACTTGGGACCAACGTGGTTGAACCCTTATATCTCCTTCCAGAGTCAGAGGCTCAGAGAAAGACAGGGCTTCGCCCCAAGTAACACAGCCAAGCCTGGGCCAGGATCAAGGCTCCTGAGACACCCAGAGTCCCCATGGAGTCGGGAATCAGGAGGCCCCTTCCCACACGGCCTGACTAGCTGGGTAAATCATGCTGTCTCTTAGCTACTGCACGTCTGTGCAGTGTGGGGGGATCCAGCCCTTTCCTGGGCCGTTTGATGGGAAGCGGCAAGGTGGCTTGGCTGCTCACCCCGAGACACAGAGGACAGGACAGCAGCAAGGGGGTCACAGCCCACAGCCCTCCTGATTCATCCTTCACTTTCCCATGAGGAAACCAGGCCCCCGAAAGCTTGCCCTGGGGAGACTTGGCTGGGTCCCCTACGAGCTCCAGGCTCCAGAGACCATAAGGGCCCTAGACAGTTGTGTTCCAACAAGGACACAAGACGGTCAGAGAAATCCACATTTGTCCAGAGAAAGCCGGAACAGTGTCCACTACCGCCACTGCCACCCCTGCCCCTCCCCCGGGGAGACTCCAGGAAAGAGCACTTTGAAAAAAAAAAAAAATGTCTAGACTGTGTTAAAGTGAAGCCAATTTAAAGCTGTGAGCGGCAGAGGAGAAGAGGGAGGGAGGGAGGGGGACACATGGAAAGGAAGCTCTGGTAGCACACGCTGAGGTGCCCGGTGATGAGGTCCAACCTGGGTCCAAGGCAAGATGGAGACCTCTGAGGCCAGACTTTCTCCCCACCGCAGGGCCAGTGTGGGGGCGTCACAAGGCTGGCAGCTCTTCCGGCCTCACCTGCACCACACAAAGCCGTCACAGCCGGAGAGTTTGGCTCCTGTGACACATGGCCTCAGTTTCCCCTCCCACGGGCCGACAGACTGTCCCGGAGGGGGTCAAGTCCTTCCGCCGGCTGTCTTGAGAAGCAGGAACCAGCCTGTCGTCGGAGAGCCCTCAGTCTGTCACGCGGGGCCCTCCTCAGTCTGGGGACCACATTGGTATGCAGGTGCACACACAGGTGTGTGACGGGCTCAGTGCGCAGATACAAGGGCTCTGACCCGTTCCCCCAAGACGACATGCAGGCAGGCACATAAGCACGAGCGTGTGCGCACAGGACAGGTGCAGCTATGATCGGCCACAGGGACCCATGCCGAGGGGTGGCAGGCATGCAACGTCTGGGGTCTTGGAGAGGAAGGCAATCACCCGTCCCCTCGATGACCCTTGAGCACATGTGTGTTGCTCACACGTGTGTGCACGCACACAAAACCAGCCACGCAGAGTCGCTTCCCCTGCTCAGACCTGAGCTAAATCCGTATCACCTCAGCCAGGAGCAGGCTGGCCGGAGCTGTGGAGGACACCGTCAGGCAGGGGATAGGAAGAGGCCAAGGGAGGGGGTGGAAGGGGGCCCTGGTTGGGAGAGGTGCCGATCCCACCTGGCCCTGACCTTTCAAGACAGGCCAGGGTAGGCAGAGGTCCCATGGTTCTCCCCAAAAAACCCGCAAGGTGACCCTGCAGGTGGCCCTCTCCTGCTCCCCGGCTCCCCAGGACGGCTTGGGCCGAGGCCCAGCTCCTACTCTCTCTGTGACGCACAGTGGGGCGGAGACTCCCATCACTGTGTCCCGTAGTATGCGTCAGCTGCCTGGTCCTCACTCTGGGCCGTCTGCCCACCACCCGTGGAGGCCGAGTCCTGGCAGGGAGAGGACAAGGCCACAGAGATGCTGACAGCAGCACTCCCCCCCCATCCCCCATCCAGCAGGTGTGCAGGGGGGGGGTGTGAGAGTCTCAGGGGTCAAACAGACAAGGCCACCCTCCCCTGCTCCCACGAGGGTGCTCCTCAAACACACACACACACACACACACACACACACCCGGGACGAAGGAGAAATAAAACCACAGTGATGGGTGAGCAGGGAGACAAACGGAGAGCGTCCCCACCAGAGGATCGACCACAGGGAGAGAGGGGGCAGGCTCAGGTAAGACAATGTGGCACGGGGTACCCGCCGCCTACCCCCAAGGCCCAAGGAGACACACGAGACTGGACTCAGCATGTCAGGGGGAAGACGGACGTGTGCAGGACAGATGGCCAGAGCCTGGGGTGGCGATGGTGCCGAACCCCGGGGGGAGCTTGGGAGCCATGCAGCGACGCAGGGACGCAGGCAGGGAACACATTCCAGATGTGGGCAGCACTGGCAAAGGGCAGTCCAGCCGGCCACAGGCCGTGTGATGCCCCTTCCCACGAGTCCTCGGACAGAAAGGAGGAGGAAGAGCCAGCAACACCGGTGGGCACAGGCTGCCGGGGAGTAGAGAGGGTAGGCCAGAGCTGGAGAGGGAGAGAGACTCAGCCACCTGGGCAGTGTCCCCCCTCTGTCTCAGGCTTAGCTTCAGCGGCCAGGTTGACCCAGCTGGGGTCATGGCCCTGCCCTTTCATGGACTCAGAATCCTAGCATCCCCAAAATGAAAAGCCCAGGCTCAGCTGGATTCCAGGCTTCCCGTGAGGAAAACGAGGGGGGGGGGACAAAGCGGGAGCGTGGTCCGGGTTCCCGCGCAGCACCGGAGCAGGTCAGACTGGGGACCCAGGGTGTGGAGCACAAGGCTCTAGTGGGATCCTCCGCTCCTGGCAAGTGCTCACTCCCTGGAGTGCAGGCATTGGCCTGAACCCTGGTTCCCTCACAATGGATGCGGCCCACAGGCCTGACAGGGGGCAGCAGCAGCGGGTTCCCAGGGGGGGGGGGGCAACCCAGGCCTAGCAGTATGGTTGGTGTGGCTTCTAGCATGACATCAGCCTGTGGTGGTCTGGGTGAGAACGGCCCACTCTGAGACTCTTGGTAAGCCGCAGGCCTTCTCCGAGCCTCAGTTTCCCCTCTTATGTGGCAAGATGACCAGTGCCCAGGCTTCCAGGAACCTTCCAGGGACACAGTGGGGGCATGCCAGTCCTGTACAGAGCGAAGAGTTGTCTCAGCTGTGCTGACCCAGGCTTCCACCCCCACGGGGACACTGCTCAGCTCAAGGGACAGGGACAGGACACGGAAACATGTGGCTGGTGTCCTGGCCACCCATGAGCGACGAGGAAATCAGCAGGGACACATGGCTTGCAGCGGTTCAGCCCTGGCAGGCTCTTTTCAGGGCCAGGCTGGCCAAGCCTCCCCCAGTACCATCATTAACCATTTGTGTCCATGCCGTTACCCCGGATTAGAAAGACGGGGTGCCTCAGGCCTCACAGCAACATCACCATTCCTTCCCAGATGCTATCACTGGGCCACCCGGCCACTCAGGGACAGAGCTGGCTACCTTCTGGAGCCAAGGGACGGGACGCTAGAGCTTGCTGCTGCCTTCACCTTCCAGGGTCTTCTGGGGCCAACTGCCCCGGGTCTCTGCTCCTCCTCGGGGAAGTGGAGCATTGTGCCCCTGCCGCTAGACCACCCAGGATGTTGATAAGTTACCTGGGTTTCGGGGGGTGAGGTGTCTGCCCCAGGGGAGACAGGCAAAAGTGCAGGCACTGGAAATGAGAGGTTCTGGGATCAAACACAGAGCTGCGCGACACAGGCAGGGTCACCGCCCCCTGGGCTCCAGTCGCCTCCCCTCAATCCTGTGTGACTAATGCCTCAGTCGACAGATGACAAGACTGGAAAGCTGGACTCATGGTAGTGGGACACACACACACACACACACACACACACACACACACACACACGCACACACACACTGACCATCTTGTGGGTTTTCTGACCCTGGTATACCCCCACCTGACAGAAGGAGCTGTCCCCAACCCCCCAGGAGGCTAACTTATCTATCAGTCAAGAAGTCCTTAGCCGAGACCAGTTGTGCGTCTCAACCCCAGGACCTTTGCACATGATCCTGCCTGGTGTGTACTTCCTCAGCACATCCACAGCCCACTGCTTCGCCTTAGGTCTCTCCCAAACTGCTCCCTACCTCCACCCCTGCTTTATCCCCAGACCTGAGAGAACCCCCTTGTCACCCAACCTAGCTTTTGTCCCCTCGGTGTGCTCAATCATGACATCTGACTCTCCCCTGCCGCCCACTCCCTCCCTCCAGCACCCGGCACAGCACAGCGGGGCTCTGTCTTGTTCACGCTTGCGGCAGGCTCAGACACACTGGATGCTGGGGCTGCCGTGTGCAGGAGAGATGGGGGGGCGGAGCCGCGGGAAGAGGGTCTCCTCAGGGCCAAGGTGTCAGAGGTCAGAACTCACTGCCAGTGGGGACTCACGATGTGGCGGGACATGCCCTGAGCCTCCCGGCCTCATAACCCCTCACACTTCTCATTCCGGACAAAGAGACAGAGAGACTCAGAGAGGCATAGCCCTCTGCCCAAGGTCACACAGCCAGGAACGGAGGCCAGCCTGAGTGCTTGCCAGGGCCTCTGCAGGTACCGCCTCCCACGCTTGCATGCGTCCGCCACAGGACTCTCAGTGGGTGCCTGCCGCTGTATCCTCTCCACCTCTCCCTGATCCGTGGTGCCAGCTCCTTCCTGCCCTGGGTTCGGCCACCCCAGGTCACTCCTACCATCGGGCAACCTGGAACCCAGCACCAAGACCAATGCTGTCCGAGCCGCCACTTCCACCAGGCTCGGCTTCCTGCTTCCTGCCCGTGCGGCAGTTGTCCTCACCTTGTCCTAGATGTCACCCGGGGCCCCGGGCCCCATGTGCACACTGTCAGACACCCTCAGAACGTCCAGGACACCTGGGGGCCATTCTGTCTCTGTCTCACCCGAGGTGCTGGGTTTCATCCACCCCATTCAATCACGTCTCATTAATCTCAGCCCACATGCCAGCTGCTCTGCGTCCCCGGGGGAGCTGGCCTCTGCCCTCTGCCTCGGCACCCATGAGTTGCCCCGTGCTGGGCGACGCCATGGCTGTGCATGGCGCAGGGAGGAGAGAGCGGGCCTGGGTGAGGGAGACGCCATCCCTCCAGCCACACTCGGGCACCACACCTCCAACACCCCCCTGCCGGGGGGGGGCGGGGGGCTCCTCTTGTACCTGCTCTGCCGCGGTAGACCCAGCTTGCCATCTCTGAGCTTTGGTGGGCCTCCAGAGCCTAAGAAGACCCACACACATATGAACATGGAACTCTGGGCCAGAGACATAACCAAGAAGGGCCTGCCATAGGCAGAGCCTTGGCATGGAAGAGCATCAGCTCTGAAGTCATGAGGCCTACCAGGCTGGTTCCTCATGCAAGCCCTACAATCCAGGGCGTTTTGTCTCTGGGCCTCAGTTCCTCCTGGGTTCAGAGAACAGCAGCGTGCATGGGTCTCCCCGTCTCTGCCCGCTGTATCACCTTCCCAGCTCATGGGTCCTCTACGTCCCTGTCCCCAAGGCACCCCAGCACTAACCACAACTAAGCCCCCACGCAGGAAGTCAAGGACCTCCATAAGGCCTTTGGACCTGGCTCCTGCCCACAGCCTGCCAGGGAGGCCCGGCCCTGGTGTTGTAAAAGCAGGTTCTCCAATACCTGGCCTGGCCCAGCTCCTGCCCACCCCAGCCCCAACCAACCTAAGACACCAGGCACAGGGGCCCTTAGGGGGCCCCCCTCAAGGAGGCTCTGAAAGGAGGTCCATCCTAGCACCACTGACTCATGCAGAGTCCCCCACCCCTACTCAGGGAACTGTCTTCCTCCCCCTCCTCACAGAATCTCTCCTCCCCTGGAACCCATGTCTAGTACTGACTCTCCTCCCCCTTCCCGCCCCGCCCCCACTGTATAATACCCTCTCCCCCCCACACACACACCTGACCCTGTCCTTTCTCTGCCTGACCTCTTCCCCCTCCAGCCTCCCCTCTCCCCACCTGGTCTCTTCCCCTCTATGACTCCTGCCCTCTCCTGCCTGGCCTCTCCTCCCCCTCTTGGCTCAGCGGCAGCCCCTGGGCGCTACTCACCGGTCTCCACTGGACCCGCTCTTGCACTGTGCCTGCGTGCACGCTGCCTCTGCCTGCATGGCCTCCATTCATTCATTCAATAAACATTTATGGAACACCTACTATGTACCAGGCACCGGCTAGGCCCACCCTCTTGGTCCTGCCTGCTCCTCTTCCAGGGTCCCAAGGGTGGGCGTTTTCCTGCCTTCCAAAATATCCTTAGGGTCATCCCCAGGCAGGGCGGGGTGTCAGGGGACCTCGGGGGCAGAGAAGCAGAGGCTCCAGGTCAGAGCATGCAGCCCACTGCAGCAGCCTGGCCTGTCGCGGGGGATCCATGGGCAGAAAGGGCATCAGTTGGGCCTGGCGGCTTCCTGGGAAGCTTAGCCTCTGAGCTTGTGCCCTTCTGATCACTACTATCCACAGGAAGGGACTAGTCTCCAGCCGCTCTGCAGTGGCTTTCTCCTCCTCGGCCTCAGGCTCTGACTCATGCAATGCCAAGGGACCCTGCTTCATCTGGACAGTAATTAAATTTTTTTGTTTTTAGCTAGCTGGCAATGTGGAAAGCCTGGGAGCTTTTACCTTCAAAGCACCCCTGTTTCTGGGACCCAGCAGCGCCCACAGACAACGGGGCAGCCGTGGCACTGCCCTCCCTGACTGTCGCTGCCCTGACCCCCGGGCAGCGAAGTTTACGAGGCAAACAAGTCGGGCACTCGGGGGGGTGGGGGGTGGGGCAGTTATGCCAGCTTGCGTGGAGACCCACCAGCAGGCTGCTCCTGGCCCACATGCTCAGCCCTTGCCTCCATCCACAGCCCACACCACCCCCCTGCCCTGCACTGGTTCTGGGGTCTCAGAAGGCTAGCACGTTGACAAGCATGGGTCTGCCCGTTTTGGGGTCCCCAATGATGAGTCTAGGATTGTGCCTCTTTGGTCCCATCAGTCTGCAGCTTCTAGGCCTAGGCTAGGAGTCGTCCATTCTCCAGGACTTTAAACTCCTCCTCCCCCGGCTTCTCCTTGGCTTTTAGCAGGGGAATCCTCATGGAGTCCACCCCACCCCACCCCGTCCCGTACCTGCTGCCCCTCTGAGGAACCCCAACTTCTCGCCTGCCCCTCCAACTGTGCTTCCTGGATCTCTGGGTCACACTGGGAGTTCCAGCTGAATTTTCAGAATAAGCATCCTACCCTGCCGGCTGGCCTCTGCTGAATTCCTAGTCCAGGTTGCATGGACATTAGGGCCTAAGTCTGACTCCAAGTTTGGACCGAACCTATGTGGGGTCCTGGGCAGCCAGACTTCAGGGTACTGTCCCATGACTCACTGCCTCCCACCTGCCTCTCCCAGGCCCCGGCATCCAAGGTTCCTGCTACAAAGTCCCCCACCCCCACCCCACCCCACCCCAGGCTAGGCTGAGAATTCCTCCCAGGATAGAGCTGTCTGTATCCTTCCTACCTCCGAGCAAGCGGTAGCAAAGACCAGCATGGGTGATAGAGATAGTGTGCAACGCCCTCTCCTGGCCCCGAGGGCAGTTGTTCTGGGGGTTGGGGGCCAGACTGAAGGCTGCCTTGGAGGCCGCAGGGGGGCCCCGCAGCTGCAGCCCAGAGAACAAGGAGGCTCTGTCCACACCCAGGGCCCCGGAAATGCCACTGGGGGAGGGCCACCCGTGACCGCGGTGATGGCATGCCTTAAACCATGGAAGCTCCTGTGTCTACCCCACTCAGTGGGTCCTGTCCCTCAGGCTACCCTGGAAGTTCAGAGCCATACTCAGATCACATGGGTCTCTGCCAAACTGCCTACTCGGTCGTCCTGGTAAAGCTACCTTCCTGGGTGTTTCCTCTTCTGGAAAAAAAAAAAAGAAGAAGAAGAAGAAGAAGAGAGAGAGATGGGAAGGGGCCCTGGCTATAGGGAGCAGCTAGAGGAAGCAGGGTCTGGCACATAGTAACTGCTCAATAAAGTTAACTGCTCTAGAAGGTTCCGGCAACCGGCTCCAGGGGCACAGTGCCAGCTGGCCTTGTCACCTCCATGCTGACGGTGGCTGTGCAGAGGCTGCAGCCCGGTCCCTGCCCTGCTCTTCCCTCTAGTCCCGAGAGCCCAGCACCCCTCTCGGCCTCTCTCTCCCTGCCCCCTCTCTGAGGTCCTGGGCCCTCAAGGGGCCACCCCACCCCAGCCTCAGCCTGTACCCAGCCTCGGTTTCTCTCCCATTGCCAAAGCACAATGGCTGTTATAATTAACGGATTATCTCAGCGCGACAGCTGTGCCCCTTTGAAAATTAGGTTGAATAACAAGATCCTGATGTATGGTAATTTCCTCTCCCTCGCCCAGCCCTGTTACGCATGCAAATATTTTACTCCGTTCCCAAACACCTTCCCATGCACTGCAGGCTCCCCCTTCCTAGGGCTGGGGGGTAGGCTCCTGCCTTCCCTGCCTCCTCAGGGCCCTCCTGCCACCCAAGGCTTGACATCCGCTATCTCCCTCTGGGCAAACACCGTGGGCGGAAGGAAACACAGCCTTCCCAGCCTGAGGAACCGCATGGCTGGCTTTCCTCCCCTGTCCCTGTTCCTCGGAAGCCTTCCCGGGGTCCCATCCCAGCTCTCTGCTCCCCTTAAGCCTACTTCCGGCCCCAGAGCACATCTTGGTCCTCTCCGTGGTTCCCGAGAGATGGCCTTGTGCTGACCACCATCACCCTCTAGCCCTGTCCCAGCTTCCTGTCCCCTCCCTGGCACCTAGAAGGACACTCTTTCCCGCCTTACTCCCTGTCTGGTTCTCTCCAGCTCCCCAGCCTAGGGATGTCCTGCCCAGCAGCCCCATTGATCCTTCTCCTTCAGCATCCTCTCTGGTCTGCCTCCAGGTTTACCAACCTATATCACATCTCTCCTCCACCCAGCAGAGGGAGAACTTGCTAGAACATTCATCCGAGAATGGCTTCCCCTAATAGAAAGGCTTCCCTGGCTCCTGGCTGATCGGGGGAAATTCCAGCACACCCGGAGCCCAGCCCCTGTGGTCCTTCGGGAGCTGGAACGTAGTCTCCTCACCGGGTTGGGGTGCTCCTTGTGAGTCCCTACAGCTCCTGCCTGGGCTTTGTCCTTCTCCGTCCCTACCAGAATCCTATCCGCCACTGGCCCTTCCCTTAGACTCAGTTCCCCAAGGAAGGCCCAATTCTGAGCCTCCCCACCAGCCCAGCCGGCACCAGGCCTCAGTAGGTGCTCAATAAATATCTACCACTGCTAAATGGATAGGAAAGCCAGCCCTCCCCCCCAGAAACAAATAAAGAAACCGAGGCTCAGAGTGGCTAATGATCTCTCATCACCACACAGTCATGCAAGGCAACACCAGGATCTGAACCCAGATCTGAGATCTGAGTCCTTGGCACTCCCTGACGAGGCCGTCTGGGAGCAGTGAGGGTGGGGCTGCTTCAACATCCCCAAGGCCTCCACTGCCACTAAAGAGTCAGGATCTTAGCCCAGGCTGTCCCTCCCTGCGTCTAACCTCGGACCCGAGCCTCAGGCTACTCACACGTGAAGCCAGGAAGGAGCCCCCCTCTGGGCTGGTCTCTAAGGATGACTGCCAAGCCCACAGTCTAACTAGTGGCTTCTGGGTGTCTTCCTGCCATGACTCTTGGGAATCCCTCGGGACACTGGGATAGACAAGATGGGAGAGGCCACACAGAGCACAGACCCCCCCCTCGGTGAGAGGTAATAGTAGGAACATAGGGGATTGGGGTCAGATCGTACCTCGGACAAGATGTCTCCCTCTCTAGGCCTGGTGTGCTACCCTGTGACCTGGGCCCACGAATACCCACCTCCGGGGCGGGGGTGGGGGGTGGGCAGCAGTAAAGACTGACAGTGGCATGCCCAGCACAACACAGATGCCACACTAACTACATGGCTGCTGGGTCTATGGAAGTTCCAAGGACAGGAGGAGGAGAAGGGGGAGGCAAAACCAAGACGTGTCCCTGACTCCCTCAACAGCCCATCACGGCTGCCACCGCCCCAAAACAGCTCATGCCCTCAAACCTCCTCATCTTCTCTGAGCTCACACCGTACCGTGTCCTTTTCTAGACCCGCAGAGCGTCTGGGATGCCCATCCTCACCGCCCCCCACCCCCCCACCGTGTCCTCCAGGTCTTTGTTCATGGTGTTCCTGAGTCTGGGAAACCGTTTCTGCCTGCCCTCCCCCGGCCCCGCAACACACCCTGGGGCCCAGAACTTTGCCCCTCCTCTGAGGAGCCTGCAGGAGAGGGATGGCCTCCCTGCTCTACCCCCATTCCAGTGGTCCATGGAATCCTGGAAAAGCCTCCCCCCACCTTGCCCTCCCATGTTACAGGTGGGGAAACTGAGGCATAGATAAACAGTAGCCCTCCTGTGATGCACTTGAACCCCGGGCTCTGCTGCTCCAACCCTCCACAAGGCTTCTCTCTTGGTACCAGAACTATCTGAGAATGAAAGGCCCCCCACTCTCCTCTCTGGGCTCCCCAGTGCCTAGCCTAAGGCCTGGCGCATAGTAGGCGCTCGGTAAATGTCTGTTGAATTGAATTGCACTCAGGGCGGCCAGTCGTCTCTGCTCTGGAAGAGAAGCATAGAGTTAGTGGAGCTGTTTCCATGGCAACCAGGGGGCTGGACCACGCTGTCGGGGGGAGGAGTTCAGTCACCCCTCCCACACACACACACACACCAAGGACCCCGCGGGCCCTGGAGAGGGGCCTGGGTAGAGGGAACATTCAGACTTAGGTGAGTCTGAATTCAAGTCATGCTGCCCCTAGGTTCTCACAGGTTCCATCCAGAGGCGACACTTTGGTTCCTCCAAGCACGTGACAGTGACAAGGCCTGCAAGAGATGCGCGGGAGGCATGCACAGTAGTGGCCTCCAGCTTAGGAGCTGTGACTGCTGGGCACCTGATGTCTGGGAACTGCCTGGGAATCATGCCCATCCTACAGCTGCGAGGACTGAGGCTTGGGCCAGGGTCAGGGCTGCCCTGGATCCCATGGTGTATTAGGCAGTCTCCCCTCCCCCCGCCCCGCCCCCCCCCCCCGCAGAGCTAGAAGGAGCAAGGCACGACAATCCTCAGATGAAGATACCAACCCCACCCCCACCCCGCCGAGGGTGGCCCCAGTCCAGCCCAAGCAGCGAAAGACTGTGCAAGCCAAGTGCCCAGCAGGAACCCCCAGCCACAGAAGGGGAAGGTGAGAAGGGGGCCTCACCCCTGTTCGCCTCTCCCCAGGGGATGAGCTCAGATACAGCAGCCCCCCCAGAGGGTTCAAAGCAGCCCTCAGATCCCGGGCTACCAAAGCCCGAGCAGGCCCAGAGCTAATATAGATCTGTGGGGTCTATAAATACACAGCCCGCAGGGCCCCAACCCCAGCCCCGCCCCATAGTGCCTTCCTTCTGGGCCTTGGTTTCCGTGGATGTCACAGCAAGCTGTATCAGGACAGGGACCACCAAGCTCAGCAGAGTTCTACCCCAGCAGGGCTGGCTGGGAGAGGGCCTCGGGGCGCACGCCAGAGCCCCCCAGGAAGCACGAGAGAGAAATGGGGTTTCCCTGAAGCCAAAGGTGTCCAGGCAGTGACCCGCTCATTGCCTAGGAGTGTGGAGCCAGAGTTGAAGAGACCTAGCGGCCAGAGCTCTGGAGCTAGCTCGCTCCGACAGCCTCTACAGCCAGGAGCTGGTAGTCACAAGAGCTAGCCTGGGTGGGCCAAGCCCTGGGCGCTCTTTGTCCTCTGGGTCCACCCTAGCTTCATGAGAAGGAGGCAGGGCTTTATTGGGAATGAAGCGGGGGACGGGGGGGGAGGGGGACGGGACACACAGTCTGAACCACCCTGCAAAACCCAGAATGCAACAGTGCCCAACGTGGCCGCCATGCCCCCTCTGGATCCGAAGGATGAAAAGGGTACCACGGGCTCATCCCAAGGGTGCTGTGCCCACAGCCAGACGTGGGTCAGAGAAGGAGACATGCCCCCCGGCACTTCACTAGCACCAGGCCCCGAATGCTTAGGATATCACCAGGCCGGCAGGAAGGGTAAAGACAAGCCAAGCTGAGAAGGGATCGTGAGGCCCGGCGCCCACGGCTCCTGGGATCAAGACGAGTGCGCCCACAAACTCATAAACCCGGTTCTGAGCAGCAATGGCTACGGAGTCTAGGAGCCACGCATGGGGAAGGAGCAGGGTCTCGTGAAAATCTCAACTCGGACTGACTCACACAACAGGCAGAGGAGCTGAGGAGCCCAAAGGCAATCCCACCCCCCACCCCCACCCCCTGCCCCACCGCCACCCCCTAGGGGCTCTGTCTTCATGCACTCTTGAGTGAGTCCCAGGATGAGAGCGCAAGCCTGCTTCTCACTCGCTACCCCTCACTGCCAGCAGCCTGGACAGTCACCAGGCCTCCCTGAGCCCAGGCGTTTCGGCATCCCCCAGGGCACCTTCTCAACTCCATGCAGATGCTACAAGAAGCAAAGGATAGACGGAGGGCCCCTGCCCACTTGTAAACTGTAAAGTGCTGTTCTTCACTGGTTTCTATAATCCAGTCTTTTCTTATCTTTTCTCATCTACATCTCAACTCTCTTTTCTAGCTTCCCCTCGCTCAGGTTTGAACCCAGGGCCTCACAGGTGCCCGCCTAGCTCCCCTCACAAAATCCTGCACCAGTTTGGATCAGCTGGGCCCCCTGAGTCTGCCTCAGCCCACAAGGCTTGCACACTTGCTCTCCTGGGTCCCGGGAGGCAGCCACGAGTTTATCTGTCTGTCACCTCCTGCTCCGAGGGCACGGAGGCCCCCCAAAAGTTAACTAACTTGCTCAAGACAACTATGCAAGAACGTGAGACTGCTTGGTCATGATCTGGAGGACCTGCCTGGGCATCTCCAGGGCTCTGGCCACTGTAGTCCCCCCAGTTCGTTCATGCCCACCTGCTCCCAGTCTATACAGCTTCCCAGATGTATGCAATATTCATGTTTCCACCAGCAACAGCTCAACACCTCCTCTCCAAGGCCTTTGGGAGCCCCATTAATCATTCAGACACACCTGCATATTCATTAACTTCTGAATTAATACAGGGTCCTTTATTACCTTGGGCCTGCTGCCTGCATTACAGACACTTCGACTTCATTCATTATTAAAGTCCCCTGATAAACGATCGCATCTCTTCTTCACAAAGGAGGGGGACAAAGCACCCAGACCCCCCCTGTCTCTCCCCTCCCCGCCCCAAGCCAACAGGTCGGTTCCCATCACCAGCTGCTGTGTGACCTTGAACGAAACCCTTACCCTCTCTGGGCTTCCCACATGTTGACCTGGTAAAATCAGACAGAGGTCAGTCTCCGCCGGCCAGCTCTATCAAGGTGGGGTTGCCCTACAATTTGTCCCTGCTCTGTCGGTTTGGACACACTCATTCCTTGTCCTCGAGAAATGAAGTGACCCCCCCCCCCCGCAGACCACCCAAAGCGGGCTCTGTCACATAATAATAATAATAATGACGACGGCAGAACTGATGATCACCCCCAGCACCTCCTGAGCCCTCCCCAGCCCCAAGGCTTGTGCTAAACCCAGCACCCAGTCCCTATCCTCGCAACAGTGTATATACTTTGTTTCGTGGCAGGGAGGCAGATGTGGAGTGACAGAGGCCAGCGAGGTCACGGTCATCTCCGCAGAAAGGCTAGAGCTGGCTGTGAGCTCAGGTAGCCGCAGACCACCCGGTGCAGGCCTGCTCCGTCCAGCGCCCCCCTCCCTCCCTCCCTCCTTCCACATCCACGCTTGCCTGCCGGAGCTGCGCGTCCACCCGTCCCTCGGCAGACATCCCATTAGTCTCCATTATACCTGTTACCCAGAGAGCCCTCGAAGGAAGCATGAGGGATGCCTCGGGCAGCGTCTCCCCCGCCCCACATCCCGCTGGCTGCAACCCGCGCTCTGCCTCCACTGTGCTCCCCAGGCAGCTCCAGGCCGAGGGCCACCAACGTCAGCAGGGACAGCTGCCCTCGTCCTTCCACCCCCTCCCACCCGCCTCCGCCATCCCTGCCCAAACTGAGATGCAGCCTGAAGCTCTTCGCTCTCACCCTCCGGTTGTATCACCGTGGGCTCCTTCCCGAACCTCTGGGTGCCTCTGCTCCATCATCATCCTCATGCCTGACTCTGGCCTCGCCCTCATCCCTCATCTCCAATCTGTCTTGACATCTGTCCGGGCCTCACACCTGCTGCCCCGCTGTTCAAACCGGAAGCAGCTCTTATGTGGATAGCAGCAGGACCTCTAGCCTCCCCTGCTTCCTCCTCCCCCTCTGCTGGGCTGCCCAAGGACCACGCATCAGGGCTTCAGAGACCAACAGGAGCTGTCTCAGGTTGAAGCCAGAAGCCATCCTGAAGGAACTACCCCCAACCCCCAAGGGCCTGGCTGTATCTGCTGTTCCCCTGGATGACTCTACCCACCTTGTCTGAGTATGGGTTCCTCTCAGGCGTGTAGGGTCACTTGGCTAGCAGCCCCAACCCACAGCCCCGGTAATAGGCAGTGATGCACCTGGTACCCCATAAAGAAGCTTCCTGTGGCCAGGTAGCAGTGGCACACGCCTTTAATCCCAGCACTTGGGAGGCAGAGCCAAGTGGATCTCTGTGAGCTTGAGGCCAGCCTGGTCTACAGAGTGAGATCCGGGATGGGCACCAAAACTACACAGAGAAACCCTGTCTCGAAAAACAAGAAAAAAAAAAAAGAAGCTTCCTGTGGGGTCCCTCGGGACACTCAGTGGACCATCCACTGCCAACAAGATCCCTGCTTAACCAGACCACTTCTCAGATGAGATCAAGGCCCAAGACAAAGTGGCCTGTCCAGGACAGTGACCATGGGATGCAAGCTCTGCCCTGTAAGGATCTGGTTACAGCAGGATCAAAACCAGGCCCCGACCACACGCCAGATTGTTCAGTCACTCGAACCCTAAGGGGTAGGCCTGGCTGCCCTACCCATTAGAGAGATGAGGAAATAAGCCCAGAGCAGTGAAGCCACTTGCCCAACGACACACAGCTAGGAACAGGAACAGGAATGAGATTCGCCGAGCTGGACCTCTGCCCACCAGCTCTGCTCAGGTTGCTGGTGTGCTTGGTGGTGGTGGTGGTGGTGGTGGTGGTGGTGGTGGTGGTGGTGGTGGTGGTGGTGGTGGTGTGTGAAGCATCCAGCAGCAGAGACCTGAGCATGGCCCTCCCTCAGCAGACATCAGCTTCCTTTATCCTCTGTAAGTGCGGGGCAAGACAGCCTTCTCCTCCCACAGCCACAGACCCTGAGCGACAAAGACGCAGAAAAGAAATGGCGGGAGCCTTCAGGCCATCGCCAAGGGACGGGAGTCCTAGGGGACCAGCGACCAGGAGCTTATGGGGCAGGCAGGGCACAGGCCCGGCACCACAGGGCCACCAGGAGGCTAAAAAGTCAGGCGGAAGCCCGTGAGTCTGGGAAGCCAGGCACCTCAGGGGACCTGCGCTCTGCCAAGCAGACCATCCATACATCACAGCACCTGCCAAGCTCAGCAGCTGCCTGGCCTAGGACACGGACAAACAGAAGGGAGGACAAGGAGACAGGAGCGTGGGACACCCATGAGGCCCAGGCAAACCAAAACCCTCACAAACCCCGCCCAAGCTTTGGAGTCTAAAGATAACCTTCCTGGAAGTTACTTTGTAAAGCAACTAGCTCCCAACTCCTCTTAGGAAAAGCCACATTTTCAGACTGGGCTTGCGGAAAGCCATGCGGCCCTCGTGGCTCTCTGGGTGCATCTGTGTCGTACACCCGCTGTGGGCACCGCAGGGGTGGGGGACCTCTGCTGCAGTTCCCCAGCCCCCAGCACAAGGCAGATATACAGTAGGTGCTCAGTAAATGCAGCGGCCAACGCCAACCGTCAGTGCTCACGTCCCCAGGTCCGTGATCAGGCAGCAGCCATCTTCAGACCTTCTGAGGAACCTCCTCAGTGAAGGTCAGAGCCATCGGTGGCCCCAGCCCTGAGGGAGGGAAAACGGAAGCCAAAGAAGGCGATGGCCTGGACCAAGGCCTCAGCTCACCCCATCGCCTTCTAGAGTGCCCCTTCTATCCAGACTCATTGACTGCTGCAGGTTCCCCGGGCCCTCATCAGGGTGACATCCTCTGCCCCCTCCTCTCCATGGTCCGACATGTGCCATTCTCCTAGCCCAGTGGTTCTCAGCCTTCCTATCGCTGCGACCCTTTAATACAGTTCCTCACGTTGTGGTGATCCCCAACCACAAAATTATTTCCACCGCTACTCCATAACTGTAATTTCGCCACAGCTATGAATCGTAACTCAAACATCTGATATGTGACCCCTCCCTCCCCGGAAGAGGTCGCGACCCACAGGTTGAGAACCACTGCCCCGGGGTGCTGGCACTTCAGGCATCGGCTTGCTAGGTGCCACCGTAGGCTGTCCACACATGCTTCCAGCTCAACAGGCCCCACGCGGCTTCTCCTCCTCAAGCACCACATGTCAAGGTCACCATCGCCCGCCATCTGCTTAGCTTTATCAACAACGCTGCCTCTCCCACAGGGTGATGAGACCCCACCTCACGGTCCAGCCCCTTGCTCTCCACCTGAAACCTCTCGACACTGCCTGCAAGACAGAGCCTTCCAGAAGGCTGCTCTGGGGCTGCCTGTGCCCCTCAAAATCAACTGGGGGTTCTGCAGTCCTGGGGATGGACCCTCGCTCCTTGAAGTGATAAAAAAAAGCATCTGTGATAAGAGCCTATGTCTTCCTCCAACCTCTGCTGTGAACCTCCCCAGGACCGGCCCCGTCACCGCCTCCAGGATGTGTTTTCCCCAGCCCAGGGTTCTCTACCGAATTGTCCCGCACTTGGCAGCTCAGCACCCAAGGCCCACGGTTTCCCCTCTAGAGGGCCAGGGCAGTATGGGTGTGACTCTGGGTCACAGCATGAAGCCGACACAGAGAAGGAACCCCGGAGAGGAAAGTGAGAAAGCAAAAGGACCACGTGCCCTCTCCGGCAGGTCCCCACCAGACCTACCCTCAGCCCAGTGGGTGTTCTCACTGCTGCACCCCACAACAGGCTCCATGTGGTTATTATCGCAACTCTAGGGCCTTGACCAGCATGCCGATCACGTGCCAGCCCGGCTTGGACCTGCTCAGGACGGACGGTCAGGCCAGGTGGGTGCCAAGGGACAGGGAAAAGAGAAGGACGTGGAGAGAGCTCCTGAGATGAGCTTCATCTGCAATATGCAGCTGACACAGCTGTCCTCTCGTCCGTGGGCCCCCACTCACACGCGGGCAGGCAGAGGCTCCGACGGCCAGGCAGGCAGCTGTCCCGGAGCTAACCCCTGCCTGCATCTGCTCCTGAGAAGCACCAGGACCTCTGAACAGAAGAGGGAAAGAACACCGGATTGCATCCAGGGAGCCATAGACTCCGAGGCAAGGACAGCAAGCAGGCACCTGCAACCTGGACCCACACTCTCGCTCCGAAACCTCCAGCTGCGTGACTTTGGGCAGCCTGGGCAGCTTCTCTGGGCCGGCTTCCTCGTGGGTCTCTAGGGACACAACGTTAAGATGAAATCAGAGCAGCACACACTGCTGAGCACCTCGTGAATCGGGCCCTTTCAGGGTCCTCCTCACAAAAGCCTGCTCAGAGCCCTGCAGCCGTAAACTAGGGCACCAGACCTGTTAGCCCGTGCAGTGCCCTGCATGGCAACCTCAGGCCTTGCACAATGACCTCGCGCTACAGGTTCCCTCTGGCTCTGCCCTTGGCTTTCACCCTTCAAAGGCAGCTGGGCTGCTCAGCTTCTAGTCCAGCTGTTTCTGCACGTGAGTCTGTCCAACCAGCAGCAGCAGCAGCAGCAGCAGCAGCAGCAGCAGCAGCAGCAGCAGCAGCCCCAGACTGCTGCCTCCCCTTCCACCCGGAGAGCAAGCCCTCACCCTGGATCCGACCCACCCTCCCCGCCCTGTGTGCCGCCACCTAACAGCCCCACGGACTGCCGCAGCAGCTGCCCCAAGAAGCCCCCTCCTGACCGCCAACCTCAGCCTATCCCCCCACTCAGCCACCTGGCACCTCCCCAGCTCCCCGGGGATTTGACAAGGCCCCCGTGGCTGGAACCTGGATGAACTACATCCTCTCGGCACAAACTGCCTCCCACCACACACATATGCTTATGTGCCACGTTGTGCATGCACACGTGCCGCGCCAACATATACATGCAAGCCTGTGTGTGCCGTGCACATACATATGCACACCCATGTACACATACATGTCGTACATATGAACATGTATGCCGCATACACTTGTGCTCACCTATACATACATGTACACCATTCCCCCCTTGCCCGTGCTGGGCCCTCTGGATCTGGCCCTTGTTTGGACCCCTTTCTTGACCCTGCCCCTCCCGACCACTCTCCCTCACTCCGGAACTCTCCAGAATGGCGTCCGGCCCCCTTTCCATCCCTCTCCTCTTCCCCCCTGCTTTCCGCATTGGTGTTTGGTTCCGAAATGCCACACGTACACCACAGCTCTCGCATGCCCAACATGTTCCCTACGGCTAGAAGACACCGAATCCTGGCTTTTCCTCGGGGCCTTCCTCGTGCTCCCCTCCAGGTCTCCCCCGGTGCTGCCTTGTAAACATCTTGCTGTCTAACGCTAGCGCCTGCTCACACCTCTTGGCCTACCCAGAGATGCCCACAGCCCGTTGTGCTGTCAACTGCTGTTTCCCACCAGGGACTCCAAGCCGCCTCCTACAGGAAGTCCTCCAGCCCGGCAGGCACCAGTCATCCCAGAAGGCTTGGTCTCTGAGTCTGCCCTCCTCCTTGGCCTTGGGAATCCTGGTCTCAGAGGCTGTGTCTTTCGGCCTCTGGACCCAGCTCCCTGCACGATCTTCTTCCATATAGGGCCCCAGAGCTGCCTCTCCCATGCTGCCCCAGCTTTGAGGGGGCTGCTCAGTCTACAGTGACCCTCTTAGCCATCACTTCTTCCATCCCCGTGAGCCCTCAGAGTCACACACCTGACCTCCTGCCCGGTCCTCAGAGCCCCTGACTCCCGGTGGTTAAAATGAAAACGCACATCTACCTAGACTCATTACCTCACCTCTCTCTCCCTGGTCCCCGCAAGGCCTTCCTCAGTGAAGCAGAAATATAAGGGTTTAAAGACACCACTGAAACCTCAAAGAAGCCCCAAGGTAAAGAGAGGGAAACTGAGGCAGAGAGGTGCTCCTCCAAGTGATCAGAGCAAGCCACTGATAACAGACTGGTTAACTTCTAACCAGGACTGCCTCCCTGCCTACTAAAGCTAGACCCTGGGGACAAGGGCAAAACCCAGCAGGTTCCTGACAGCACACATGGAGGGGGGGGGCAGTGATGGGAAGAGAGGTGGGTCATTAGCCTCCCTGGCCAGCAGCAGCCTTGACCTAACCCCAGAGAGCCCCCATGTGGAAACCCAGAGGCAGGTCCATGGTTGGCTGGCACAGATCCCACCCACACCTGGGGACAAGTGCATCTGCCTTCTCCCTCCCTAGAGACCTGGGCTCCTGGGACTGAACCACCTGGACAGGCCAGGGCCTCTGAGCAGGTCCCTGGTGACGAAGTGTGAGCTGCCCACAGCCCAGAGACACAAGGAGAGACTCTCTGAGTAGCTATCTATTCCACAGATGGGAAACTGGGGCCCACAGGCCTGTCACGTCTCCCCAAAGTGGCCCAGTGTCCCGATCCTCTGGGGCTACCCCTGGAAGAAAGAATACCCACTCTTCCCATGAGCCCCACACCTAACCAGAGCAGACAGCAGTGAGGTCGGCTTCCAAACCACAAGCTCCCGCACCCTGCCCGTCTCGAGGCCTGTCACCATGGCTCCCGGCCCCTGCCTTTCTTCTTCCTGTCTTGGGGAGATGCAGTGAGGCTTGCTAAGCCAGAATCACTCTCAACTCACAAATCGCCATACTTGCAAGGGACTTCCGGTTCCCAAAGCGAAAGCCACCACAGTAAGTCACTCGTGACCTTCATTCTGCTCCTCCAGGCCCTAGTCCATGCCTAGGGGCAGGAGTGAGGGACCCGTAGAGAGCAGACGGGCATGGCACCGCCCTGAGGAAGCTCACGGCTTCTGGGGAGACCCGCAGGAGACCAGACGTTTGTCTGTGAGACATGGTGCGTGGGGACGGGGCTATGGGGCTTCGGGCTTCAGGACAGCGTCCTAGACCAGGCCAGGACGAGACTCCAGAGCAAGGATCACCTCCTTCTCCAGCTCAGGGAAGACAAGGAGTTGAGAAGACATGACTCACCCAGCAAAGGGGGGCGTGGCTGCCTGACGTTCTTCACGGAGCTAGGAGGTGCAACTGTCACTGCCTCCGCTCTAAAAAACGAGGAAACTGAGTCTCAGAGGTCGGAAGCAACCGGCCTCAGAGCCTCCCGCTCTCAGGCTGCAAAGCTGGTGGTCTATAGGCTTTCCTGTACGTCCCGGGGTCTCCGAAGTGGCGGATGGCGGTTGCTAGAACACACTCTCTCTGATCTAAGGGCCCAGTCACTGCCGATGGCATTGAAGCCAGAGGCTCCCAGAAGCCAGCAGAGCAAGAGGAGGCCCAGCCACAGTGAGGGAGACCGGAACCCAGCAGGCACTCGGGAGCCATGGCCACAGCCGGGTCACAGACTCACCTGGAATCAGCCACCGCAAGCCAGGACTGGGCAGGAGCCAAGGCCAGCCTTATCCGGAGGCACAGGGAGGGTATTTCTGTGTCACCGGGCAGAGGCCACCTCAGCCCTCCCCATAACACATGCAAACGAGGGGTATGGATTTCTGCATCCTTAACTTCCCAAATGTTAACAGGCTCATAAAAATTGAGATATTCTTCCTCAGCCCCACGACACCCTGGGTTTGTTTAATTTTGTGTTTCCTCCCTCCCTCCCTCCCCCAGCATCCATCCGCGAGCGAGCGACGGTGAGAGACATGAAAAGCTGCAGACTCCGGTGTTTGCCTGCCAAGTGGGTCTACCATTCCCTCCCCACCCCCTGTCCTGGGAGGGCACAGGGAAGAGCCCCCAACACACACACACACACACACACACACACACACACACAGGAAATCAGAAGGCCCAGGGGAAGGTGCTGCTACCTCCCTGATGCTGTGTGACCTCAGGCCCCAGACTTAACCTCTCTGTGGTATAATTGCCTCCGCGACAAAGTAAGAACAGTGATTGCACCCAGCCCGCCTCAGGGTGGGTGTGAGGATCAAGGCAGATAATCCCAGTAAAGTGCTTAGTAGTCTCCTGGCACAGAGCAAGCCCTCGATAAATGTTAGCCCTTGTTATTATGTAAAGGAGGGCTAAATACCTCCCCCAGTTAATCCATTTGTGGAGTTCGCCTTCTGGGGCAGGCAGGCTGGCCGCTCCAAACACAGCCCAGCGCGCAGTTTGGTTGTGTTGGCTAGCTCTGTGGATTTAAACTCCAGCTTCCACGCCATCCGGCAGAGCTGGCTGACTGCTGGAGCTGGCCGCAAGCCCCACCACACCCTACTGCCTGACTCAGACCCCATGGGCAGTTCTACATGGCGCAGCCCCTATGCACAGCAGAATTCGTCACTCACTGACCATCTCAAAAGCTTTTCCAGAGCCAGGCCCAGCGGCTGTAATGCATGTAATCCCAGAGCAT